CAAAACTTGTGTATGGGATATATAAATAAATAACAATGATTTCAAAAGCATCGTATTTCATTATCAACAGCCTTTACTAGTCCACTGCTGGACATAGGCCTCTCCTTAGAAAGGAGGTTTTGGCCTACTATACCACGCTGGCCAGACGGGTTGGAATAGAGTTTGTTTCAAGTTTACCTACTCTTTGCAGTGCTGTTGTCCTGCGTAGTATATACACAGGATATATTCCTAATGCAGGAGTTGTCTTTAAAAAAATAAATATATCCCAGTAAAAATAAAATCACAGCGTAAAGAAATTAATACTGTGCAGTCGTTTTAGTTGTATCTTCATCAACAGCCTTTAATAGTCCACTGCTGGACATAGGCCTCTCCCCAGAAAGGAGGTATTGAGCTAATATACCACGCTGGCCAGACGGGTTGGTATAGAGTTTGTATCAAGTTTACCTACTCTTTGCAGTGCTGTTGTTCTGGGTAGTATATACACAGGATATATTCCTAATACAGGAGTTGTCTTTAAAAAAATAAATATATCCCCGTAAAAATAATATCACAGCGTAAAGAAATTAATACTGTGCAGTCGTTTAAGTTGCATCTTAATGTTAATTAATGTTATAGTTATTCATCATCACCATCATCATAGCCTTTAATAGTCCACTGCTGGACATAGGCCTCTGCCCAGAAAGGAGGTATTGGGCTAATATACCGCGCTGGCCAGAGGGGTTGGTTGAGGGTTTGTTGCATTTCGTATTCTTAATCCGTCACTAACCGAAAGATAGTTATTCACGTATTTATAAAAATCGATGGTTGCTCATTCATTCGATTATTATGAAATTACGCGTACAAATTGTCAGGGACTCAACGAAGGGCGTCGGGTACCTAAACCCTTCGTTGTATCCCTTTGCCTCATCCAGAAATAAATGTTACCGAGGGTTTGAAAATTATTAATTCATAGATGAGAATTTCTTTTTTTTGTCTCTGCTATTTAATTTACCATAGAGTTGCGTGTTTATAAGCCCGACGCTTTTACAAATCTTAAGTTAACTGGCACCTTAAGGCCCCGTCCGCACAGCGATATTTTACCGCGAGTTTATTTTTTCGCAAAATTCTCGCGTTCATTTTGTATCAAATCACAGTTATTTTTTGCGCGATTTTTTTACCGCCAGTGCGGATAGTCCTATATAGATCCCAGGTGTTTAAAAATTTTACGAAATAAAAAAATAAAAAATAAAACGAGAATAAAAAAAATAATTGTCAAAAGACATCATAGTAATTTGTTTCCTAATTCATTTAGCAGTTCTATAAAGGCGAACAAACAATTAATTGGCATTTTACTGTAAGTAGTTTATTTATTTATCAAATGGTGTAACAGTACTGTTTATCATTATTACTAATAGTATTTAGTTTGGTATTCATGGATTAGAAGCAGTCGTTTCAATTTCACTTTCTTATGTAGCTCTCTATGATTCAAAATAGTGTCATATATGTACATCAAATTAACAAAGTAAGATCGTAGTGTTTCATAGATTTAATACACACTTTTTTCGATCTTCTTTGGCCTAATTAATTATGAATCAATGTAAGGAAAAAACGCCCCGCATAAGCGTGTCAAGCAGCCCCTTCTTTCATGTTAAAAAGTGCTTGAAACTAAAGATTTCCATCTTGTATTCAGGTCAATGAAAAACTGTACGGTCAACGAACGGGAGTAGTCTAATGTTGCTAAAGATTTATCTGTTGGCACCCGCCCTCCCCCTGGAGGGTGCTGCTGACTGCTGTGACTTCATTACTCCGCAGTAAAAATACTCTCGTACACTATAAAATGTGCAATAAAGGTACTGAGATTTACGATCGGCGGGTCCACACGGCGGCAATCCGGTGAGCGCATTCGCCCTAAATCACTCACCGTCCAATTCGCTTAGAATGATGTGTGTTAAAGATGCATTTCCTAGGTAGGTTAACATTTTAAGCATAACGAGAGAAGAAAAAAATTGTGTTACTTTTTGTTTTGTTTTAAGAATTGCACACATTTTGGACAAATATATGCACTTTTTTTATAAAGTAAAACATCTATGCTTTCGTGTTCTTGTACTTTGGCTGTGATTTACATAAAAGGGCCTATATTTAAGGGCGCTATTTGATTCGATTATTGAGCGCGCAGTACTAGAGCCAACTCCAACATCTCAACTACCATCTCGTTATGTTCGTAGAAAAATGTAGGTTTTGAAAAAAAATACGAAATTCAGTTTTTATCATATTTACATACTCTATTGTCTAAATATTATTGCTGCATTCAAGAACAAAAATATATTTATTTTAGACTTTAAATTATTCAGTATTAGTTTGATAGGCGCTCAAAGTAAAATGAAGCTTGTGATTTTTCTTCGAAAATTGTAAAATTATTAGTTGTTATTTTTATTGCATTTTAAAACAAACCCTATTTTTCACTAGTATGCCAATTTTTATAATTACAGATTTAGACTTAAAAAAGTTATGTCAAAAAAAAAAATTAGAATGGCTGCTCTGCATACAATATATGTCCTGGGTGGGAATCGAACCCACGACCTCCGGTTTGGCAGTCAGGGTCACTAACTACTAGACCAACAGGCCCGTACTATATACCATTATATGTTAAACATCATACGCGACAACTGTAAAGTTCACTCGTTTTTTTCTCAATTGTTCTATGGTATTAGGGTTGATTGTTATCAAAGTAATACCCAAAGAGTCGATGTCAAAGCCTGCATTAGAAAACGATTAAAATAATGATAATTGACCACGAGATTGTCGATATGTGGAATGCCGATTCAGTGATCATTGTTCCGATAGTCCTATCTACTCACGGGTTGATAGCCAAGAGCCTCGACCAACACCTTAAAAAGCTCACGGTTTACGGCTGGATCAGTGGACGGCTGGATCAAGGGTCTGATGCAGAAGGCAGTCCTCCTTGACACGGCTCGTATAGTGAGCAGGTTGCCTGGTGTCACCAGGACAGCGGTGGTTAGGACTCCAAAGATAGGACTCTTGTCCCTGTACCCGATGTCGGTGGTCTACTATTTTATACTTTTTAATATTTTTAAATGAATTTTTATTTCTTTTGTAATATATTCAAAAATGTAATTAAAATGTATATATAATTTAATAAAGAGAATGATAATAATAGAAAAAGCTATTGCAGGTTTCGGCTTAAAAGGACGTGCAAGTTTACAAAAGCTAGACTAACTAGCTTTTGTAAACTTCAGTCAGTCGTTAACGATTAACTTCCAGAGTTAGCAAAGAAAGACGTTTATCAACTGGCAAACTGAATGGTTGTAACTTTGCTTGGCGTAATAAAAAAATCCGGACAAATGCGAGTCGGACTCGCCCTGTCCGGAGTTTTGTTTAACCGACCGAAGGTCCGGTACGAATTTGTAAGTACACCACATATTACAAATAATTCAAGAATCGTACTTATAAATACTTATATTATTGTGTTTTATAAGTGAAATTATACATCAATGATTGATTACGTACTTTAAATAAGGACTATTATTATTATTATTATTATTTTAAAAAGACAACTCCCCGCATTAGGAATATATATATAATGTGTCGCGGGGGACTTTACAAACAGACATGAAACGGACACAAAGAAACACCCAGACTCAGAACAACAATTTGTGGATCACACAAAGTGTCGTCCCATGTGGGGATCGAACCCACAACACTCGGCGTAGTAGGTAGCGGCGTGGCGACCGCTTAAACCACTCCGTCATCCGTGGCAGTCACTATATTTTTATGATTTAATTACAAATGTAGCTTTCCGATTTTTCTTTGTACTTGTAGTATAAGACAATATTATTTGCTGCATTTCATAGTTCTAGGTCAACGGGTAGTAACCTATAAATTTAGATTCCTTTGAGAGTGTCGAAGTATGCGTTTTTTTTGCGGCATAAGGGACGGTATCTTTTTTCTATGTTAACTTAGAAGTTTAATCACAGCTTCAAGGGACTGTAGACCTGTAGCTTATATTAATGAGTTCATAATATGGTTTTAATTTCAACTCGATAAAGGGATATAGGGTCCTGACAGACAGACAGATGACAAAGTGATCCTTTGAGGTGATGAAATGATGATTTGAGGTACGGAATCCTAAACAAAAATATTATCTTCTATTCCCGCTGCAGATAGTTATAGGAGTAGCAGGTACTCAATTTACCTATGAAGTTGGAACTGAGAAATGAAAAGACTAGCTATAAAATACTCAGTCGTTACCGTTAATAAAAGAAATTATGGAAAAATAGTCCACAGTGTAAAATTTACATAACAATAGTGGAATTGTACTTCATTTCTATTACCTCATTCCTTCCACTTCTTGTACGATGAATAATAGTTCATTATTCAAGAAATTACAGCTTTCATCCATAATTCGCGTTGGCGGAGAAGCTTTTTTGCACTTTATCTCTCGATGCGGTGATAATGTAACAAAATTGGTCTCAGTAGAGAGGGTTTTTTTAGTTTTTTAACACTAAGACAGTTTAAGTAAGTGTTAAAATAATTGCATATTGTAGAAATCCACTTAGCGATACCTTCTGTGGGTAGCAGGAGTTAAATGAAACTTATTTATTTCAGTTCTCCACTATCTTTACAGGTTCACCCCAATACAACAATAGACTTACTAAATACATTAAAATAAAAAAAAGCCGTGTGGTGTCGTGGGACACCCGATAGGAACGAAGTTGTGACGATCGAGTGTAAACTGATTCGACACGATTTTAATTACAACGGCATCTATGAAAGCGGCTATTACCTACATATTTTTCAGTTGGTTTCTAATTAAAACAATTTATACATTGGTAAAATCTCCTTGAGAAATGATTTTCTATCTATTCGATAGATGGCGCTGAATGACTAACACAAAAAGTGTCGTTACAACTTTTCGTGAGACCGTCTAGCCCCCTTTCACAACGCGCGATAAGGAACTTCGTTCCAATAAATTTGAATGGAATTGATAGTGATGGACATACCTGGCGAAGAGTTCGTTCAGCAGGCGCACCAGTTCCTCAGCGGTGCACTGGTCCGATAGAGATGTGAAGCCACAGATGTCCGCGAACAGGATGCTGTAACAACAAACCAATTAGTTGGATATCGGATACTTTTTTTTCGGATCGGATTAGACCTGCAAATTACAAACAGTAATATGTCTAAATCTCCCTGTCCAGTATTACGTACTAACGAGTTTGTAAATTACACCCAGACACAGAACAAATGATCTTGTTCATTACACAATATTGTTTTTTTTTTTAAAAGGTCTACTAGCAACCGAAATTACTAGAATTCCCGTTAACCCATCCCGCTAAGCTAAATTGCTTGTTGTGTTAGGAGTGGGTTCACGTCGGTAGTGTACTGCTCAGGATTCGAACCCAGGACCTCTTGATCGCAAGTTCAATGCCTTAACCACTAGGCTACTGCCGCATTCATTTGTCCTGGGAGGGAATCGAACCCACAACCCCAGATGTTTCCTTAGCTTTTTTTTCTCAATTATAAGTCTGATTGATGGTTTGTTACATTACAAACCACTCTAAACCTACTGTTTGTCTGTAACATGTCTAGAATGTTTCCTTCGTAAAAACTTAAAAAAGAACTGTATTTTAAGTAAGACAAGTGAAAGTAAAACATGCCTTTTGTATAAACAAACAGAGCTTAAAACAAACAATAGTTATTTTCATATTACCGTAAAGGGACTTTTTTAATCGGTTGTTAAGTGGGTCTAATTATAATAGATTAATATGATAATGGGCACCGCGATCCTACCATCATCATTATAAGTGGAGTAATCAATCACACTACACTGCAATGCTCCACCTAATTCAACAGCATTATATTTGGGCCGGATTTCGGACACTGTCGGTTTTTGTGATTAGTATAACATTACTAAAGCTTTGATACAGTTTTGAAGGACACACGTAGAAAATATTATTATATACTAGTTTTTGCCCGCGGCTCTGCCCGCGTATATGTCGGTTATAGCCTAGTTCTTTCCTCAATAATCAAAGTATGTCCATACCAAATTACATCTAAATTGGTTAAGCTATTATTGATTATACAGACAAGCTTTCAACCCTTTCCACCCCCTTCAAGCATGATTTCTGGGATAAAAACTACCCTATGTCCTTTACCGGGAATCGGATTATCTCTATACCAAGTTTCATCTAAATCGGTTCAGCGGTTTAAGCGCGAAGAGATAACAGACAAACAGATAGAAAGAAAGACAGACAGACAGGACACACTTTCGCATTTATAATATTAGTATGACGTTTGTGACTCCTGAGTTCCAGACGTTTCATGGGCGGCCGATGGTCACTTTCATCAGGTGACCCGTCGGCTCGTCTGCCCCCTCTAACATAAAAAAATCGGTTGTCTGTAAAGTCGGTTTTACTGACGATAGTTGAACGTGACAACGTCCATAAGAAAATACTGATGGAATGGTACCATTTTTCAAAAATGTATTATTGTATACGAGTAGCAGCTGTCCACGCGGACGCATCGCTCACTCAAGTAGGAGAGAGACAGATGTCGAACGCTGCCGAACGCGGAGGCCGAATGTGCCTCTTTGTCACTCGTCCGCGCTCTCGCTTGCACTTCACGCCTTAAATGGAAACGCCTCAGAGCGAGGTAACGCCGCATGAGTCATGTTTTTTCGTGCGTGCAGCCGGCTCCATCGAATTATAAGACGTTGTCACGTCAAAAAAAGAATTATGTTATGCAATAAAGGCAATTTAGTTTCGTACGGCATTAAGCTTATGGGATAGCCATACTTCGGCACAGGAGTCCAGATCTTCCCCCTTCTCTTAATTCTGAATTGAGGGACTGAAGGGCTGCAATGCACTTGTGACCCCTGAGTTTGTATTCATGGGAGGCGTTAGTCACTTACCATCAGTGAACCGCCTGCTCGTTTGCCTCCTTTATCATAAAAAAATAAAAATAAAACTCCAAACGAATTCAGGTAACTTCAAAAAAAAGGACGACGAACGAGTTTCCATTATAAGGAATGATTAAACTCAAAGTGAAGTGCACACTGTGTGTGATCACATAAACGAACAAACATACTAGTACTGGATCCCCACAAAACTCAAATAGCTACAAATTCTCTGTCGCTAGCGGTTACTCACATAAAACCGATAATTTGAGTCCAATATTAGGTTAGATTTCCTGTAGGATGCAACTCAATACTCGTAGGCGCCTTATCTTAACAATATCTCGCCCCTTATATTGATGGTGTACATACATACTGTTATCTATCACCATTATCAAATAATAGCATCCATCGCTAATTTAAATTTAGTACAATAAAACACAATAGGTCAAGAGGTCCCTGTTGTGATGGGCGTTCAGGTCGGAGCGTTCATTAGAGCGGCAGCGGAAAGAGCCCTTTATGGGTCAACGGTGGCGTTCAAGTTTTCCAGGAAGATTACGACCTTGGCGTCAGGTGGCAACCGGCCGTAAAACGAAAGCCGCTATATCATACCAATCATGAGGCAAAACCTATAAGAATAAGACGATGAAGGCTAGGGCGTCCCCCTCAAGCGACGAAGAACATAGATCTGCGAAGGATATTAGGGATTATTAGTGATTGGGAAAGCCGACCCCGTGTAACGGGACAAGGCGAGGCCAAGAAGAAGAAGACAATAAAACACAATACAACGAAATTCTCAATCTATGTCTTGTCACTCTATATTATTGAAATGAGATAACCGATGCAGGTCGTACCACAAATGGGTCCCCGACCACTCCAGCTAATTAAATACGTGACAATAATATTAACGTAAGTCAGCTTCACTTAAAAAAGGCACACGTGCTGACGTAACATGGTGTTAATTGAATGAAAAATCCGAAGTAATAGCAATATATTTTTTACGTTTCTAAATTCACACGCAGTCACATGGGCGAATATAAAGGATTGTTATTACGTTGCCACCTGGTCACCACCGGGGCACTATGTCAGAAGCGGCCGTGTAATACTCAGCCACAAAAAAGGTCCTATAATGCAGGACAGGCCTAAACGAATCTCAGAGAATACACCATCGATGTCCACTTCTGTGCAGGTCAATGGCAGTTTTATCTCAGATATGTTGACTTTCTTGAATGCGATGCCCACCATTACATACTTATCAGAAGCTGCTCAGTAGCCTATCTAGGAGTGCAGTACTTAACCCAACTTAAACTTTCACGTTAACATTGTGAAAATTGTTGACAAATGTACTAATTACATGTCTGGCCAGCGTGGTATAGTAGGCCAAAACCTCCTTTCTAAGGAGAGGCCTATGTCCAGCAGTGGACTATTAGGCGTCGTCCTAATTGGCAACGATCGTACGATGACACGATGCGTTCTCGTCGTGCGATGAGTTCAATCATACAGATTTCATCAGAGTGTCCTATTTGAACCTCGCAAGTAATCGTGCGAGCACGTAAAATGCTTAATAACGATCGTACGATGCGTTTGATCGTGCGATCCTGTAACCAAAGCAACAGATCTCTACGTATTCCGTTGCAAATGTAGTCAAATGTTTCTTTTGACATGGACAAATAATCGTAAAGTCTTCTTCGTTATTTCGTACATCAAAATAATGGTTGAAAAATTCACCGCGCATATTCCTAGATCTATAAAGTATATTATGTGGTCTACGTTTCCTTTTTTCAATGTCATTCGCAATTTTCAAATCAATAATGCCCGACAGTAAAATCTGTGCATCTCTGTAAAGAGCTATCGTTAAAGTGGCGTTCTGACCGCGACGATATCGCACGATGTGACATCGTGCGATCTATTAGGACACCTGTTGGATCATCGCACGATCACTTTGATCGGAGACGAAAAAAACGCATCGCGCCATCGTACGATTGTGGCCAATTAGGACGACGCCTTAAAGGCGTTGTTGATGATGATGATGATGACATGTAAAATCATATATTTTTTTTATAAATTAATATTATTAATTTTAAGTGTATATATTTTCACATAATATTGTAAAATCTATTAAGGTCTAAGATATTAAATTGTTTAAACCTGCAACGAGTACATTACGATAAGGTACTTGGATAGTGTCGATGGCACGTGCTATGAAATTGACACATTAAAATATATGTAAATATAAATATACATATTCAAACTTCAACTTGTTAAAACTTCAAACTTGTTCTCTAAAACTAAAACAAATGACATAAAAAGAAACAAACCATCTTTGAGCATTTTAAACTTGTGTTCTGTCAATTTTTATTTCAAACCTCGTTCCCTAAATAACCAAAACAAAGGAAGGGAAGATGTTTCCTTAGTTTTTGTTTCTCAATTATCCTAAGAATTAATGGAAATGAACCACTGAAGATTAATTAATTAACTCATACAATACAGATTTAAGTGAGGACGGGTGAAGTGTTTTATTCATTTCTATTGTCATTCAAGTGTCTACTCTTCTCATACCCACATACTCTTTCATACAGACCATCCAATTTTATTTTAACCTACTTATTAAATGAATGTGAGCAGAAATAAAGACTGCGGAACACTGATACAAAATTTGTAGGGCATATTGAAATTATCAAAATGATACTGAAACTATGATGGTAAAATAAAAATAAAAATGTTGACCCGCCAAACCAATCTAACATCCACCGCCACATGTGTGCCTACACAACTCCGTAAAAAAAACTACATCCTAACTTTAATACTTTTTCGTTTGATAGCCTCATGAATATGCAATATGAAAATCCATCTAAATGGAGAATGGTTTAACTTGCAACGGTCAGCCACGAGGATATCTAGTTGTTGGTCGCTCCAAATTAGTGTCAGCAAGCTGAGGAACTGAATACAATATAAACTTCAACATGTTCCATCTCATCCATTCCAAGCCATCTAAGCATCTATACATTTAACTGGTTAACTGTATTTGATGTGTTTATTTATTTATTTAAAATTGCTTGCATTTACATGGTATGGGGCGGACTTACGCCACATGGCATTATCTACCAGTCGACCTTTAGAAGATTCAGTGAGAGACATGGCAGGAGAATTAAAATACAATTGCTATGAAAATGTTATCCTACTAATATTAAAAATTGTAAAATGAGTTTGTTTGTTACACTTTTAAGACTAAATTACTTAACCGATTTTAAAAATTCTTTCACCAATGGAAAGCTATATTATCAGCGTTTAACATACGCCACTTTTTACCGCGATAACTAACATACACACAGGTGGAGCCGGCACGCAAAAGCTAGTAAAAATATAAATACACTACATGTAGGTAGGTCATATCATAATGATATTAAACATACAAAATATAATGTAGTATCGTAGAAATTCTACCACAAAGCATAATTATAAATACAGTAATCCCCCCTATAACACGGTAGATTTGTTCCGCGTTATAGGAAAACGCGTTGTAGGAGTATTCTCGTATAACGCGCTTGTACAAATGATTTACGTTTTACTTTTCTCGTTAAAGGGCTTTTAAATCGAATTATGAACTCTATAAATCATTATAAATTTCACAGTACAGAAATATAAACGTAGGAAATTCCCGCGTTATATGAGGGAATACCCGAGGGATTAAAATCGCGTAATATGACAATGCAATGGGATCACTGTATTTATAATTAGGTAGGTATAGACTGGAGCAAGTAACTCCACGCTTTGTGGTAGAATTTCTACGATAATACACTACATTTCGTATGTTTAATATCATTATGACATGACCTTGTCCTGCCCGGATGAGGATTTTCTTTATGTATTACAATTGATTAGAACAATAAAATAAAACAAAAAATGA